TCAGATTCATTGGTATAAATGCAGCTCCATATTTCGTAGTGTTCCATACAAATCACACTGTCTCCGTCAGCCAAAATGACTGTCGGCAGCACTAAAACTGCTAGCCAAATTAACTTCTTAAACTTCTTAAACTTCAACAACTGTGTATATATATATATATATATATATATAGTATAATCTGTTTCATCCACATCCCAATATTATGTTCCTTAACTTGTTATCTTAAAAAGATGGAAGGAGACAAAATGGGTAGTTTAGATATGTATTAATAAGGTGTGACAATTGGGTTTTGGTTTTCTGCAAAACGAGGTGTAGCTGTTGGGTATTATCGCGCCTGTCCGTTTTATCCGACGACTTATCATTTTATTTTTTTCTGTTCTTCGGAACTTGCAAAAGTTGACAGTGGCCGTAACTTTTGAACCTATATACGCAACCATTATTATTATTATTATTATTATTATTATTCTATTGATTTTGATATGCGTAACGTATGCTCTGTAAGAAATATGTATGGTTAGCACTTTCCAGCAGCGGGAGAGAAGCTGGTAGTGTTAGTGACAAGTAAGAACAATGGAGCTAAGAAGCAGATGGAGGTGGCAGAGAGAGAGAGAGAGCGGGAAAAACTCAATAAAGTTAAGCAACAACATGTGCTAGATATTTGACTTGTGAAGTGAAGTGAGAGTGAGATGAATGATGAGATATTTGGCACTATGATTGGAGTGTTAAGACAGCTTCATGTGTGTTGTAGATGATCCATGAAACTTGTCGGTATTTTGCAGTAAACTGCATCCATATATTTTGTGACTTCTTAAAAATATTTTAATTCACTATAAAATACTCAGTTCGTAACTCTTTAATTACTAAAACAATTTTGTTGTTCAATGAAATTCAAGAAATCGTCATTAATTAAGAGCAACGTTCCAATTAATAAATAGTTGTAGAATATTGTTAAAATATTCTTAATTTTGTTAATTACCATATGTACTCAAGTCAAGCTTGGACATAGAATTTTACATCTGGGCTCAATCCAATCTCGCTTGGCAATATTATGTTATTAATAAATAATATATTTTATTTCATTTAATTTTAATCTTAAAATATATTTAAAATATTAACATAAAATAATATTTTTATTATTTTAATAATAAACTAATAATTAAAAAAGCATGTGCAGTCATGCTCGAGCTTGGCTTAAAATGAGAGAGCTGGTAGGTTCAACAGACCCGACCTATGAACATTTCTAATTAAGATTGTAATTTTTAAGAAGCATATATGTGGGATCTTTTGATTAATTCCAATGTACTTTTCTATAACTTTATTTTCTATTATTTATATTCAATGGTGTTATATTTAATGGTGTTGGAGCTTAAGAAGTCGACAAGTAAGATATTGTATTCACTGTGCATGTAAAGAAAGAAATTAATCCTAAAAAAGTAAATAAATATAAAAATTAGCATTTAAGTAATTTTTTTAAAGGCATTGGCATTATACAATACTAAGAATAAATTTGTAATGGGGATCTGTTATTGTAAATTTTTTTCAAATTATCGCACTGATAAGCAACGTTTGTGGCAATTACCACAAGTCACCCTGTCATCTATGGAAAAAGAAGGAAACAAAAAAAGAAAAAAGAAAAACAGCATTCATAAATGATGCGAAAACCTTTTATTCATACTGACACAAGTTTAACCAAAGAGGAAAAGAAAATTACTGCGACATGAAATATGGAATCTACACCTATTGACTTCCAGGCGACAATTGTGCATACAATTTTTAAGGTTTTCTGACAGTAAATTTATTAGTATGATCCCAAAAAACTAAAAGAAAAAGAAAAAAAAAGTTAAAAATTGTACTAGCAGAATTTACTCTTGTAGTAATTAAGGCTGGAAAGCTTGTGGGGACAGAATCAGTTGGTAACCGTGGTTCCTGCTCCCAAACTGTGGAGAGGTAGGATATAGGATATATATAGACACACACACATAGGAATAGGAGGAGCTGTACGTTTTTACCTTGTACCATCGCTGCTCAACTGGTTGGGTTGGGGGTAAAATTTCAGTACCTTTACCACAAAGTGATGTTTGCTCCACAGAGATTGAGGGAGATACACTTCAAGGTTCCCATTTTGAAATTTAAGGGCATACCCAATTATATTGCTGAGATTTTTGCCTCCCAATTGCTTTCTGAATCATACGGTTGGGCTTGTAAGGTTGTTGGTATTAATGTATGATTCAGATTCTTGCTTTGGGATATGTTTCCCCGTACAGGGTTGTTTCCTTTCTTGGCATATATTTCTCTCAATATATGAAATAGGTTTGGACGAGGCAACTTGTGTGAAACTTAAACCCACCTTTTAAAATTTCATTCTTAGATAATTAGGTATAATACTTAAAATGTTTTTAAATTATTTTAAAATTTAAATAATTTTTTATTTTTTATTATGTTCAATTAAATTTTTGTATTTTTATTTTAAATCAAACAAGTTTTTAGGACTAATATTTGATTTAGCTAAAATGTCAATTGTTATTTTATGTCACCTGAGCGTTGATATAGTATGCTGACATATCATAATAGATGATGACACGATATATTGATGTAACATAATAATATGATCATGAGACAGTTATTACCTTTCACGTAAGTATTTTTTTACTTTTCATATTAGCATCATGTAGACATAAAATCATTTTTGATTAGTAATAATTAGTGTCTATTTGGCTCGATTTTTTTTTTAACTTATGTATCTCTTAAAAGTAGAAGTCAAATCATACAAGATTTTGAAAAATTCTAAAACTAAAAAAAAAATAGTTTTTTTTTAAGAACAAAATCTAAAAAAAAATTAGAAAAAGTTTCAAAGAGGATATTTCTCTTCTCTTCTCCTAAAAATAAGTTAATTTTTCTTTTGTTTCAAAAATGTCCTCATCTATTAAAAACAATTTCAACATTACCTTCTTAAAAATACATCCTCTCTCTCAATTGATCTCCCTCTCCTTTCCCTCTTTTTGCAAGTCATCCATTTTCTCTAGAAATTGCAAACTCCCTACCCTCTAACTCTCATAAATACGACAATTTATTTATGAATAATGTGTTACTTATAAATTATTTATGAAACTCTTTTTTTTATGATTTATTATTAAACAATAGATAAAGTTAATTTTATTTTAAATAGATACAAAAAATAAAGTTAACTTTTTTCCATTGTAAACAAAAGAATTCGTGACTAATAAAAAATTATTTATTAAATACCTTTTATCGTAATTTTAATCAAAATTAAAGTTTATATAATTTGTATTGCTAAATAACTTATATATTAAAAAAAACTTTTAAAAAATAATTTTATCAAATAATTTTAACTTAAGTTTAAAAACTATTTTTTTATAAGACATTTATAATAACTTTTAATCTAAAAAGGAGCCAAGCCAAACAGGCTCTTGTTAAGTGTTTATTTAATTTAAAATAAAAATATAAATATTTAATTGAATGTAATAATTTTTTTCAATTATTTAATATTTTTAAATAAATTAAAAATTATTTTAACTATTATATCAAATAATTATTTGTAGATGTATTAAAGCAAAACATTTTATGGCACTTTATCTGAATTGGATTCGAAGCTTCCGTTGGCAGGCCTCGACTTTCTTCCCAATTAGCTACAACCTTTTGGCCCAATCCACTTACAAATGAAAGTAGAGACTAATCAACTTTCCCATGAGCTGAAGTTGGATTTGCCCAACTTAACAAGTTTTGTTAAAAATAATCAACGTTGAACTACGGTTATTTGAGTACCCTTCTTTTTTAGAAAAAAAAAAAGGAAAAGTGGAGTCCTGTGTTAAAAAAAATTAAATTTATTTGTTGAGAAAAATAAAAAATAATTAAAGTTTTATAAATTAATTAATTAACTAATTTATTCATAAAACAATTTAAATTAATTAATTTAATTCTTTACAACTCAATTAATTTATTAAAAATAAATTTTATACATTTCTATATTATTATTTATTATTTTAAAAAATAAATTATCTTCTCCACGTCGTTAGTTCTTTATCATTTTTGTACTTCAGTTTTTCAAAAGTGGTAAAATCTATCTTGATTTTTCAATAAAAATAAAAAAAGATAAATGAAAAATACACTTAAGCCCAAAATGGTAACCCCATTTCATTCAAGTCAAGATTTTTTTCAAAAAAACAAAAAAAAAAACTTGACACTCAAATGTAATGCCATATATAATAAAACTTGCAATCATATTTTTCGATTCTAAGTGGGTTTATTCTCAATCACAAGTGCAAGGTCTTTCTTGCTTTAAAATTTTGAATTGTTATTTATATTTCCAAAATTTAAAACATTACAAATAAATTTATCTAATTGGCACATTTATTTATTACTAAAAGAAAAAAAGAAAGGATGCCCACAGGTTTTTTGTTTTAAATGGCCAGTCCATTTTTAAGATTGCCTAAGGGTCATGATTCAAAGAGTACAAACTAGTACAAGTAAGCAACTCAACTAGACCACACATGTCAAGCAGCACCTGAGTAGAGTAGACAATCTAAACAGACCAGATAATGAGTCCAACACACAATGTAATCTGATTTAAATTTTTAAATTTAATTATATATATTTAAATTTAAATTACATTTTAATATTATTTTTTATTTTATAAATTTTATATAAATAATGTGATTATTATCTTGTAAAGTGACAATTATCTTACTTTCTAAAAGTAAAAAAAAATAAAATTTTAATTTATTAATTTTTAAAATAAATATTTCGTTTTAATAAAATATCTTTTACTGATCACATAAATTTAATTGTTAATATTTTTATTAATTTAATAACATAATAATATTAAAAAAATAATTTTATTTTTTTATTATTTAAAAAAGTAATAAAATAAAATTTTTAAACTTTTTAAAATTATGACTAAAAGTGATAGAGGGTATTTTACCCTATTTTCAAAGTCCTATATTTTCGGAGTTTAAATCCAACACCAGGACCATCATTCTTAAACCCAACTTGAAATCTAGAAGCCGAACAACAGAGATGTCTCTGCTGGAGCTTTTCTTCCTTCTGGCAGACTAACCCAGAAGACTGATATCCACTCGAGAAACCAGTTATTCTTTAAACGGTAAGCAGCCCATTCCTTTATTTTCTTTGTTCTTGTCATTACATTTAGATGTCAAGACTTGGGTCTTAGAATTTTGTTTAGAGTTGTGGGTTCATGCTGAAGATATTTACTCCTGTTTATTTGGTCTCATCAGCTTGTACTCTTGAGAAAATTGTAGTGTAAGATTAGAAGAATTCTGAGTACCCAGAAAAGGACTTGAATGAGAAAAACGGTGGGTATGAAGTTTTTTGCCAATGCAATATCTCTGTACAGAAATTATTGCAGCAATAGTTTTAGCAATAGCATTGTTCAAAAGTCTTACGAGAGTGGAAATAAGGTCAATAAGAATAAACCCAAAGTCCATAAAGCCAAAATTAAATTGACTGATGAACAGAATAAGGTGTTAGATCATGTTTGTGGTGGCCTTTCCATGTTTATTACTGGCTCTGCGGGGACTGGGAAAACAGTTTTGCTAAAGCATATAATCAAAATATTGAAAAAGACTTATGGACAGTCCGGGGTTTTTGTGACTGCATCCACTGGGATTGCGGCTTGCGCTCTTGGTGGACAGACACTTCACTCGTTTGCTGGTATAAGAATTGGTGATGGTAATCGTGGAATGTTGCTAGATTTGGTTTTAAATGATAGGGAGGCTTGTAGAAGGTGGAATAAGGCACAAGTGTTGGTTATTGATGAAATTAGCTTGGTAGATGCGGATTTGTTTGACAAACTTGAATATATAGCAAAAACTGTTCGTGAATCTGATAAGGTGTGGGGTGGAATTAGGCTTGTTGTGAGTGGGGACTTTTTTCAGTTACCCCCAGTTTTTAAACAACATGATCCAGCACGCAAAGAGTTTGCCTTTGAAGCTGATTGTTGGGATGCAAGCTTTGATAAACAGGTTGAACTTACCAAGATTTTTAGGCAATCAGAAAATAGGTTGATTAAATTACTTCAGGGTATTAGGAGAGGCAACAGTGATCCTGAAGACTTGCAGTTTCTAAAACAATCATGCTCGGCCTCTGAGCCTCATCCTTCAGCGGTACGGCTCTATCCAAGGATTGATGATGTGAACAAAGTAAATGAGGAGAAAATGAAAGCCTTATCTGAGGAAAAGGTTATCTATGAGGCTATTGATCGAGGTAAAAAGCCTTGGAAGAGGCAGCTTGCTCTGGGGCTAGCTCCTGACAAACTTGTACTGTGCAAAGGCGCAAGGGTAATGCTGATAAAGAACTTGAATGTTTTGCATCGACTTGTGAACGGTGCAACTGGTATTGTCACTGGATTTACAAAGGCACAGGGTGGCACGGTCCTAAGTCCTGATAATCTCTTGCCAGTTGTCAAATTTGATTCAGGCCCAGAAATGGTTATTGAACCAGAAAAGTGGTATGTAATGGTAGGATCAAGGCCTGTTGCTTGGAGACTGCAATTACCTCTTGTCTTGGCATGGGCTCTAAGTGTTCATAAGTGTCAAGGAATGAGTCTTGACCGTATTCATACTGATCTCTCTAGAGCTTTTGGGTATGGTATGGTTTACGTTGCACTTTCCCGTGTAAGAAGCTTAGATGGCCTTCATTTATCTGGCTTCAGTCCCTCGAAGATCAAGGCTCACCCAAAGGTTTTGGAGTTCTATAGTCATCTTGCATGAAGTAATGGCAGTAATACCTTGCTCTCAGTTAGATAGAACAAGCAGCGAAAAACCCATGACATGGCTTTTCTCTTGAAGAGTTTCCTATTCTCACATGAATTATCCCAGTGATGGAAGTTGTGAGAAACTTTTGAAATTCATAGGTACTAAAATCCCCTTTATATTAGATGTTTTATGTTTTATGTGAGACTCTCTATTATAATGCAAAAACATTGAAAATGATCTTTGGATAGAATTATATCAGTAGCGTTGATTGGAGGAGTGATCCCTTGAATGGTAAGAGAATTGACACTGACCTTTGTTCGATTTTGATTCCCAGAAAATGTTTTAACATTTCCAAACAAAGCTGTCAACAAGGTTGCTCGAGATGCTGGATCTTTGTCTACATACATATAAAAAGCAAGTCAAATAGAGAGAGAGATGAACACAACAACATACGCAAAATAACCTAATTGGAGAACTAGACTGAAATAAAGGCCCAATTATATGTACATTTGTTGTTTATTAAGATCAAGAAAGCTTATAAAAATTCATCATCTGGTTGTGGTGCGAGATAAACGACTGCTAGGATTCAAACGATCTCTCTTCAGCATATTCTCAAAGTTCTTCAGACACTTGAGCGGTCCAACCTGTGCAATGGAATAACACCACAGCAACTTCTTGTAAGAATCATCAAGCTAGCTTAGCCAGAAGATGTAATCCAGCACATGCATATACACCATAATAGGAATGTAGGAAACAAAACATGTCAAGCATTGCTGAGACACCTATGGGATCCAGGAAACTCAATGCTGACACCAGCCTCGACCATCAAAGCCACCTTATGGCTCCAGAATACTCAAAAGCTGGAACCAGCTGAGATCTTATATGAATAAGGCAAACACTAGAGATTCAGATAACTATGCACTCAGAATTTCAAAGCCTAGGTACTCATGGTCCATTGCACATTGGAACTAAAACTTATTATTGTCTCTAAACAGTTTTTAAAATTCAAGCAACATGTTAATACAAAGAATCTTGTCACATAGACCAAGATATTGGACCTATAAAAGAAGAGTTAAAAAATTCTTATTCCTGATACCCACTTTTCTCGCTATCCATCTGATATTCTTTCTTTATCATCACATTTTCCTTGCAAGGAAATTTTTAGCATTAAACCTTGTTGATATACATCATGATAATCAAACTTCCCACTTCTGCCACTGTTCCCCCAAATTTTAGAATAATCACCACAGAAAGCCCCTTTCTCAATGAAGAAATGCTGCTACATTTCTATGCATTATTTTGAAAGACGAAGATATACAACACAAAAAACCACAATAAGTTGGTTTATGCACAAAAATGCAGGTACAAAGCCCACTCACACCCTATCTGTGTGTGTGTGAGAGAGAGAGAGA